ATCAGATGGTACAGTTGCTTATATGTTTTTTGGATTATTCTAAGTGAATGGGGAGGAGAACTGACTAGTATAAAAAATGCATTAGAAACTTTTTAAAATAACTGTTTAAAAATATGAATACTAAATTCAACAAAGAGAAGGAAGCAGGGCTCAACAATCATAGGGAACAGTATAAGCAAAAGCACTTGGGTTAGAGGGTACAATGCATGTTTGGGGACAGAATATGGAGTGTAAAGAGTAAGCCTATTTAATTTTTTAAAGATGAGAAAAGGGGTGACTTCCAGCCAAGGGGGCTACCTGACTGTAGGCAGACTGTCCAGCTACTACATGCCTACTCCATCCAGTAAAAACCTGAAATTTGCCCAGACCAAATAATGATCAAGAAATCAAATGAGAGGATATTAAGTGACTTCTTTCACCTCAGAACTGCACAAAAAGTTATCAGGAAACCCTTGGGCAATAGAAAAGTGTGCCACAAGCTAAACCCTAGTGTAAACACAGGCATGCCCAGCCTCTCAGCTGACCAGGGTTCTGGGTCCCAAAGCAACAAGTTTGGAGAGCTCCCTTAAGAATGAACCAGGGGAGTCAGAAAGCCCCAGGATGGAGGCCTTGGGAGGTCAGGGAAGTAGTGACCAGTATGGCATGGCAGTGCTCAAACCAGGAAATCCTCAGGCCAGAGGCTCTGAATTCCCTAACCCTAATTCCTAAGTCACCAGGCAGGGCCCTGAAGATCCAGATCTCAAAGATCACAAGGGGTTCAGGGAAAGACCAAGTAGGGCCAATCACACTACCCAAAAGAACTTCAGGAGGCAGAGTCTCACCCTGGTACAATGCCTCAATTAAGGAACTAAAGCTAGAGAGGTGAGTAAAACAAAGGAAATACCCATTAATAAAAAAAAGTTGTTGTTTAGTCATTTCTCAGTCATGTTCCAATCCTCATGACCCATTTTGGGGTTTTCTTGGCAAAGATACAGAAGAGGTTTGCCATTTCCTTCTTCAGTTCATTTTACAGATGAAGAAACTGAGTGTCTTGCCCAAGGTCACACAGCTAGTAAGTATGTGAGGTCAAATTTGAACTCAGGAAGAGGAGTCTTCCTGACTCCAGGCCTGGCAGTGAGCCAAAAAAATTATTGCAGATCTAACTCCTTAACAACTGCAAGCAGAAATCCAAAGGGAAAAATGGATTTTCCACAAGGACTGCATGAATACTTAAAAGAAATGAAGCAAGAGATTTTTTAAAAAGAAATAAAATGAATAAAAATTTTTTTTAATTTAAAAGTGAAAATAGTAAACTTACTTAAGAAATAGAGTCCCTGAAAACCAGAATAACCCAAATAGAAATCAATTACTACATGAGGGAATGAAGAATATTAGGACAAATTCAAAATATGGTAATAGTAAAAGAAAATATAAGATAGCTGATATTATAAACAACTAATCTGAAAAAAAAATAAAGGAAAGATGATACAATAATCACTGAATTCCCTGAAAACTATGAATAAAAGAAAAAACCTGAACATTATATTTCAAGAAGTCACAAATAAAAACTGTCCAGATATATAAGAACCAGAGGGCAAAGTGTAGATAGAAACTACTTATATAACCTCCTGGGAAAAAAAAAAAAACTTTCAAAAAAAAGTCCCAGAATATTATGGCAAAAACCCAGAGCTTCTTGTCAAAGGAAAAAAAATGTTGCAAATATACAAAAAAGGAGTTCAAGTACCAAGGAACCACAGTCAGGATCACATAAGACCTGGCAACATCTACCACACACAAGAATAAACCTTGTAATACAATATTCCAAAAGGCAATAAATATAGGCTTACAAGCAAGAATAATATTGGGGATGGTGGGGCATGCACTTTAAAAGAAAGGAGGCCTTCTCATTTCTAAAATGTATAGAGAACTAAGTCAAATTTGTAAGAATACAAGTCATTCCCCAACTGAGAAATGGTCAAAGGCTATGAACAGGCAGTTGTCAGATAAAGAAATTAAAGCTATCTATAGTTACATGAAAAAATGCTCTAAATCACTACTGATTAGAGAAATGCAAATCAACTCTGAGATACCATATCACATCTATCAGATTGGCCAACATGACAAAACAGGAAAATGATAAATGCTGGAGAGGGGGGAAAATTGGAACACTAATGCATTGCTGGTGGAGTAGTGAAATGATCCAACCATTTTGGAGAGCAATTTGGAACTATGACCAAAGGGCTATAAAAATGTGCATGCTCTTTGACCCAGCAATAGGACTTCTAGGGCTATATCCCAAAGAGATCATAAAAATGGGAAAAGGACTCACATGTACAAAAATATTTATAGCAGCTCTTTCTGTGGTGGCAAAGAATTGGAAATTGAGGGGATGCCCATCAACTGAGGAATGGCTGAACAAGTTCTGGTATATGAATGTAATGGAATACTACTGTGCTGTAAGAAATGATGAGCAGGCAGGACTTCAGAAAAACCTGGAAAGATTTTTATGGACTGATGCTGAGTGAAGTGAGCAGAACCAAGAGAATGTTGTACACAATAACAGCCATGTTGTTGATAGACTTAGCCCTTCTCAGTAATACAAGGATGTAAGACATCTCCAAAAGTCTCTTAATGAGAAATGCTATCCACATCCAGAGAAAGAACTATGGAGTTTGAATGCAGATCAAAGCATACTATTTGCTCTCTTTTTTTCCTTCTGTTTTGTTTTATTTCCTCTTTATTGTGGTTCTTCCTATTGGTTCCAATTCTCCCTTACAACATGACTAATGTGAAAATATGTTTAATAGGAATGTATATGTAGAGCCTACATAAGATTGCACAGTGTCTAGGGGAGGGAGGGGGAAAAAAATTTAAAACCCAAAAGCTTATGGAAGGGAATGTTGAAAACTAAAAATAAATTAAGAAAAAAAAAAAAAGAAAAAAGGAGGCCTTTCGAGCACTTCTAACAAAAAGATCAGAGCTGAGTAGAAATTTTGAAATACAAACACAAGAGTACAGAGGAAACTAATAAAGTAATTTATCTGAGCAACTGGAAGGAGCTCTGGGATGATACAGTTCTAATATTTTAACAGAAAGAGAAGAAACAAGTGTCCCCTTGGAACTTTGTCTTCAGAGGCTACTGAAGGAGTTAAATATGAAAAATAAAGGTCCTAGGGGTATATTTATTCCATTATGAGAGTTTAAAGAGTGAAAACAGAAGGAAGGGTAAGAGAAATACTCTAGTGTAGAAAGGAAGAAGAAAAGAAGAACTTGCTATTTCTCATATTTGGCATGGATGGGTAAAGACTATACAAAGTAGGGGAAAGTGGGCATCAGAAGGATGCAATCTTATCTGAAACAAAGGAGGTTGAACATGCATGTCCAAACACCCACACACTTAAACAAACAATTGAGTGTAGAAATACGTCAAACTCAACAGAGAAATTACCAGGTGTAGGGAAAAGACAGAGATAAGAGGAAGGATAATATCAGAAAGGGAATAGTCCCAAGAAAAACAAAATTCCTGATCCTGAATGGGAATTAAAATAGAGAGAAAAAAAAAAGAACTGAATCTAAGAGGGGCCTTAATTTGCTTCTTAAGACAGTTGGGGAATAGCTCAACAAACTGTGATAGAAGTATAATGAAATGTTGCCCTGTATGAAATGACAAAACAAACAATTTCAGAGAATCCTGGAGAGTACGAAAAGTCGCAGAAGAGCAATGTGTACAAGCACAACAACACTGTAAAGAAAAAAAATTTGAATGACTTAAGAAATCTGATGAATGAAATCACCAACTATGTCTCCAGAGGATTTATAATGAAACGTGTTGTCTTCTAATGAAAAGATAACGGACACAAGGTGCACAGAAATACATTTCTTGACATTGTCACCATGTAGGTTAGTTTTGCTTGATTCTGGTTATTGTTTAAAAGGTGCTTTTTTTTTCTTCTTCTTTCTCTCAGTTTTTAGTTGACCAGAGAGGTCAGGAGAGAGGATTAGCAATAGAGATACCCTCCCCCCAAAAAAAAGCCATCAAAAAAAATTTCAATGCACATAAGAGAACAGAAAGAAGTTCAGATGGAAGCACAGACACACAGGTCAGTTTTGAAAGTAACATTTAGAATTTATTATATCCTTCTTTTAAAAGCATACACTATGAAATAACATTCATAGTTTTACACTATGAATACAAAAACATACATAGTTTTTATGTTCTGCTGTATATACAGAAATGTTTGGGGTTTTTGTTTGTTTTTTTTTTAATGAATAATTCTTAGTGATTAAGGAAAAGAAGAATGTGTCTTAACTGGTAAAAAACAAAACTGACCATACAGTGTACTACCATCAGAAAATATTGCCCTCTCCAAGAAAACAAAAGATTAAATTGATAAATTTCAACTTCCTAAGATAGGAAGATAAAACAAAGGAATTCCATAGAACTTAGCTGCCACGCTACCAAGTTAAGTTATTATCTTCTAACTTACTCAAAACTAGTCTTTCCATTGACAATGGATATTTGTCTAATTAGTTTATTAGGTTGAGGGTTAAATAAAAGAACGTGTAATAATACAGTAAAGTCAAAGTAATTGACCAGCTTGCCCAAAATAAGGAAAACTGAAAAGAGATAAAGGTTATAGTATATATCAAACACAACCACATCTCCTATTTCAAATAGGACACTGCCCTTTTTGTTTTGGAAAGGTGGAGAGAAGTAAAACCAGTGACTTTTTAAAACATAAAATAAAATATCTGACTCCCTTTTGGCATTTTACTTGGTTATGACAATAAAAATAAGTTAGTCAGGTATATCTGCATGTGTTACTTCATGAATCTCTTTCCCTAGCACAATATTACTTACTGCAGGAAGATCAGAGGATCTCACCAATCTTCAAATGATCCTTCAGTGATTTTTTTATATAGAAGAAAAAGAAAACACTCTTGATAATAGGTGACAGTGAATTATAAAACCAGGCAACAACTTAGTGAGTCCAATTATCCACACCTCAACCTGACTTTACCTGAACGAATTAACAGCCGTAAGCATTCTACAGAATTATGATAAGCTGCTTCATGAATTGGCATCCATCCTCTGTTGTCAGCAACGTCAACACTACATCCTTTCTTGAGCAGTTTCCTTAGGGTTTTTACATTTCCTTCCCTGGCAGCAAGGCCAACAGCAGAACACGTATCTGAGTAAGCCTCTGTAAAATCCATTCTTTCAGACTGATCTAGAAGATAGAAGGGGGGGGAGGGGAAGAATTCACAAGTTATCAATTGTGCTACAAGTCTACTTCATTAAGGGCAACTAAGAATACATTTAGAAACTAATTGTGTCCAATGGACCAGCCCAGTATTTCACACATTATAAGCAGGAGAAATGGAAAGGTGGAAAATAACCTACATTTAGATTAGAGTTTGTTCCTATAGCCTAAGCTAAAGGCAATTTTTAAAAATCTGCCCTTCAAGATAAAAGGTTTATTAGAATTGTATTAAGATACTTACTTTAGTTTTTTTTAATATTTTGTTTTTAGTGAAGATCTATCTTTCTTTCCCTCCCACCTCAAACCCCACCCCTACCAAGAACACAAGAAAAACAAAACTCATTACAAACACATAGAGTCAATCAAAACTGTCAATCCACATTGGCCATGTCTGAAAAAACACATTTTTTCTCAGTCTGCATTCTGAGTCCTCTCTATCAGGAGATGTGTAGCATGTTTCATCATTAGTCCTCTTATACACCAAACTTGTTCACCCATTTCCCTATTCGTGATTACTCCTTCAGATCCCCATCCTTTGCCACCTCAGAAAGAGCTATAAATATCATTGTACATCCTTAGAGTTTGTGTTGCTTAGGACTAATCTTTCCCTTAATCTTTAACCTTTCGTCTAATTCTCCCTACCTTTTTCTTTTTCCCCTTTCCCTCCTATATCCCCGTTGAATGAAACTTATTTCTGTACCCAACTGTATATGGGGATTCTTCCTTCTTTTGACCAGTTCAGATGACAGTAAGATTCAAGTGTCAGTCACCTACTCCTCCTCGTTTGTACAGTGCTGCGTACCCTTGCTATATGAGACAATTTTCCCTAACTTTCCTTTCCCTTCCCCTCAATCTATTCCTCTTTCCCTCTTTCCATTCTTTTCTTAAGATCATCAAGAATAACGGAAACACTCACAAGCTTTGTCTAACTGTACTTCCTCCATGAATCCTGATGATGATGAAGGTTCAGAGGGGACATGTATCATTTCCCCATATTTGAATGTAAGCAGTTTATTCTTGTTTAGTCCTTCTGCCATTGTTCATTCGTGTTAACCTTTTCGTGTTTCTCTTCACTCCTGTGAAGAACTTCAAATTTTCTCCAAAGTTCTGGTCTTTTTTCAGGAAAGTTTGGGAATCCTCTATTTCATTAAAAGTTTATTTTATTCTTTAGCATTATACTAAGTTTTGCTGGATAAGTTATTCTAGGCTACGAGACCATATACTTTGCCTTCTAGAATACTGTATTCCAAGTTCTCCACTCATTTATAGTGATAGATGTTAAATCATGTGTGATTGTCACTGTGACTCTTCACTACTTGAATTCTTTCTTTCTGGCTGCTTGCAGTATTTTTTTCTTTGATCTGGAAGCTCTGGATTATGTCTACGATAATCCTGACAGTTTTTATGTAGGGGTTTCTTTTGGGAGGTAACCAATGGATTCTTTCTATTTAGATTTTACCCTCTGGTTCTAGGAGATGTAAGCAATTTTCCTTTAAGATTTTTTGAAATACGATGTCTAGGCTTTTTTTTCCCCCATGGCATTCAAATAGTCCAATGGTTCTTTGATTTTTTTCTCCTTTATCTGTTTATCAGGTCAGTTGTTTTAGCTATGAAATACTTTACATTTTATTTTATTTTTTCAGCCTTTTGACTTTGTTTTAATATTTTTATTGCCTCATAGAGTCATTGGCTTCTATTTAGTCCATTCAAATTTTCAAGGAGTTTGTTGCTTGTACAAGGTTTTATACATCTGGTGCTACGTTAATTCTATTAGTAATTCTTTCTACCATAGTTGTCATTTCCTTTCCAAATTTTTCAAGCACTCTCATTACACTTATAAAACTTCTTTTAGTTTTTTTTTTTAATTCTTGTTTCATTTATTCCAGGAATTCTAGTTGTTTGTACTTGACCTTTTGTTCTCTTTGAAGTACTACTTAAATTAAGTGAGTCATTCTCAGTGTTCATGTTTTGAGCATCCCTGTCACCTTGATAAATTATTATGACAGGGTTCTCTTTGTCTGCTGCCTATTCTTCCAGCTTACTTTCTCACTTCAGATTTGATGTTAGGGTTGGACTCTGCCACACTCCTGAAGAGAAAAATTAGGTTGGTCCTCTTGTTGCTTTCTTGGGGTTGAAGACCTACAAGCTTTCAGTGCTCCCAAAGTGTTTAGATTCAGAGCAAAGTCTAATTTTTGCACTGGTCCCTGCCCCCTGACCTCCCCAGTTCTGAGATCTGCAAGTTCCCATTCTGGGCTTGGGTCTGAGTGAAAGTAAACTGCATGCCCCTATCAGCCAGCTGGAAAGCCCTGTTGGTGAAGTGTGGCATAATTTTAGGTTCCCCTTTGATCAAAGATTCCTGCCTTGGTTATTCTTCTACAGGCCAGGTAGATGCTGCAAGTGACACTGCTTTGTGCCGGGGGTCTGAGTCATATCTCTGCAGCTACTGGCTTCTAAACTTCTTCTTTCCAAATGCAGCCCAGGACCCTTTTACTCAGGAACACCACTCCTTGCACGAGTCCCCTTTTTAATCCATCATGAATCTATGACCCAGAACTGGAAAGTGTGTAACATGGCTGCCAATTCATATCTGTCCGCACTGAAGTGCCTTGGGATGGGTTCCAGTAAAGTTCCAGTATGGGTTACAGACCTTCTCTTGCCCAGGTGCACAGCTTCTCTCTAGGCACTAGCTAGTCCCCAGTATCCCCAAAATTCCTTTCATGTCTCTGTATGCTAAGCTGGGCTGGACAAAGATTTCACTGTGATCTTTTTCAGATTTCCCCCATCAGGATTCAGTCTTAACACAGTTTCTAGATGTTAGGAGGAATTTTTGAAGAGAGGGTTCACTGTACTACTTCCTACCACTCTGCTATGATGTTTCCATCTCTCAAGACACTTATTTTAAAATACTGTACTTTGTTAGATATGTGATTTAATTGCTGTCTGTGCCCACTCCAAACCAACACATACCCCTTACAAAACCTTTCAATTCAACAAATGTTTACTTTGGCACTGGAGATACAAAGCAGAAAAAAATCAAATAATTCTTTCCCTCATGGGGGAAAACAACAGGCAAATAGATAAGTAAATAATATATGTACATATACATACATAGAATAAATATTTAACATGGTTCTGTGATCTCATCAATATGCAATGATAGAGATCCCAATCCATCCATCCCTGTCCTTCTTGCACAATACTTGTCCAGGTTTTCTTGTAAGTTCTCCCCAAGTGATACATTCAATGTAGTAGAGGCTTCGTTGGTTTTTCCTGAGATCAAAAGGATATCAGTAGAGCACTTTGGCTGTCCACTAACAGGATAATCCTTGCCATTAACACATGACCAGGCCATTTTCCTTTTCAGGACCTACTATGTGCCAGGTACTATGCTAAGTGCTAGGGATATAAAGAAATGTAAGAGATTCAAGGAGTTTACAGTCTAATGATGGAGATAAAACGCAAACAACTATTTACAAACAAGTTATATACAAGATAAATTGGGAATAATCAACAGAGGAAATGCACTAGAATTTTCCATTTCTTTCAATACTATTCTTCAAAGTTCTTCACTGGTTATATGTTACAGCCTGCTTATAGCCCCACACACCTCTCCATTGCCCTCTGTGGGACACTCACTCTCAATTCTTTGGAGATTACTATTTTACGTGTCTTATAGCTAAATAATGATATTAGCAAAATGTTGGTATTAAAAATGTGTTCCTGGGAAAGTATATGTCTATATATGTATGTATGTATGCATGTATGTGTATATATGTATATGTATATGTATGTATGTGTATATATATGTATATGTATATATATGTATATGTATATATACATATATATATACATCCTCAATTATATCCTTTAGGGGTGGAGGTAGGGAAGAAGGGAGTAAAAAGTAAAGTAAAAAATGCACAGCAGAGAACAAAAGAAAACTTCAAGGTAGCAAAAAAAAAGACAGACAACTCTCAACACAACATATAGTACTTATCATATAGGCTTTCTTGAAATGAAAATTTATTGCTATATATTGTGAATTCTCTCTTATGTTCTGCTGTGCACATGACTTTTTTTTTCTTTTCTTACTTTGTATTTAAGTTTCAATCTTTATGATACGTTTCTTTTTCTTTTCTATATTCTGTGTTTGAGTCTAAAAGAAAAAAGAAAAGAAAAAAATGTGGTCCTTTGCTAATCTAAAAAAAAAAATTGGCTCATTATAAGAGCTTTGCAATTTCTTAAAGGCAATTAAGACTGCTCTCTTTCTGTCTAATTGTGAACCCAACTCACTGTCCATTCATATTGTCTGTTCCAGATGTGTGTGTGTGTGTGGTGTGTTTGTGTGTGTGTGTGCGCGCATACCAAGAAGCATGCTCTATAATATGCTTGTCCATCCAACTGCATTTTGTAATTTAGGCAATAGACATTCTTCATTCACCCAGTCTTTCCTTTATGGAAGGTCAGGCCAAACTCTTTTAAATGGTTATAGATTTCCTCCAGGAGGCTCTGCGATGGTGTGATGAAACTGGCAGCATGTCGTCCGCAGAGATGGAAGATCTTACCACGTAAACTCTACACTAGATTTCTATCATAGCAAATGCACATCTCCAGATTTTATGCTTTGTCTAGGGTTTATGGTCACAGGGTTCCTAAGCAAAGTACTCTCTACTGCTTTATCTTTCAAGGAATCTTAAATGTTTTTAAAATATAAATGGAAGAACACCTTTTTGGAAGAAAGCCTTGAAGGTACATTTTGTTCTATTAAATCAAATACTATTTTATAATCAACAGAAAGTACAGTAGGATCTTATACTTTCTATACTCTTCAGTCATTTGTATGGTAAAGATGTGGTCCACTATGGAATATCACTTCCAAACACTGGCTTTTTCCTTCTAATACCCTCATGGAGGATGTCCTTGATCCATGAATACATGTGATCCACATTTTTAAAAAATTATATAAATGG